TATTTCACTACTTAAAAGTTACTTACAAGCGATATTATCTTAAAATTATCTGAAACGACTTTAATTTCATCTTTTACTAAACTAAATTAAAAATAAAATTATCTTTATCTTATGAAAGACATATCAATTTACATAATAATTTTATCTATATATAGATAATTTTGTAAGTTACTTAAATGCAACTAAGTAGTTGTCATATCTCTCGGCAGTTTGAAGCTTCAAAATAACCGAATCATATCGACTCGAAAATACATTAAACTGGCTCACCCACGCGACAAATAATATCGAACGGAGGAAAGAATCGCCTTCCAAGACTCTTTCGGATATCTTAGAACACGCACGAGTGTGCTTGATCATGCAGCGTGAGATGGCCGTGGCACGCTTACTTATAGTTAGCGTTGGCATTGAGAGAAAGCGATTGCTACGAAATTGCAGTTTCGTTCGATAATCTTAAGTAAACGGAAGGCGAACAAATTATTCAGACGACTGACTCATCGTCAATCTATCATAATTTTCAAACAGATGAGCTTAATAATTTCAGTACACATAATATATATATACACATAATTGATGTCTTATTTTTTAATTAATGTGTTTGTTAATTAATTACTAGATCGCACCACGAAAGAAATTTCGTTTTGCTGATGGTGCCTTTTGTCGAAAACGATATCTCGATATCCACATTCTCCGCATCAGATTTCTCGACTTTTTTTTGTCAAGAGAGATCAAGCGTCATATAGAAAATTTTTACCTGTTGAAAAAGGTACCACTTACCATTCCGTCCGTGTGACGAAAAGAACAGAGAGAAAAAGCGTGAGAGAGGGAAGGAGAGACTCGGGGGACCCCCCGAGTGTGCTCCGTCCCAGGAATGCACCGTCGAGCTATATATCTCGTTTGTTCCGCAGAAGGAAAAGATTCGATCAGACGCACCTCGTTTTCGGTAGGTCGCACCGATATATATATATTTATGTATACGTAATTTTTCTCGAGGACCTCGAAAAATACGTTTTGTTCACGATCTCAAGTATCCGGAAGCAGCGAGACACGGAAGCGCGAGATCCGGAGACACTCGAGAGGATACTCCGCGAGGGAGGCAGGAAGCGCAAGAGCGGCTCCTGTTCTCCACGTCACGACGCGACGGACCGCACCACATTGCACGGCCGTGCTTCATCCCGACCGCACCTGTGGTACCGCTTCCCTCCTGGGCCCCTTTGCGGGCCCCAGGTGCCTACCGAGCGAGACCTGCCCCTCCAATTCTTCTCAAGCGGTCAGTCTCGTTCTCTCCGCTTACTAACCGCGTAGCATCTTCCTTCTCTAATATCACCTCTTTCCAAGCCTTCCTTCCTGCTTCCTTGGTCGCCGTGGTCGCCCACTTCGCTCACTCCGTTTGCTCCGCTTCGCTTCGCACCGTCGTCATTAACAACTCGCGAGGGCTGGCAATGGAAAACCGCAGTTAGAGACGCTCGTTTCGTTACGACTGTGCAGAGTACACCTCGAACGGAGTTTAATAAAGACTTCAATTATGTCTCTCCCGCTCATTGTCGGAATTAACTCTGGAATTGTTTCATTATGCGCTATTATTTCCTTTCTTTTATATTTCTCCCTCTTATAAATTTTTATATAATATTTCAAAACTTCTGTATAATTTTATAACTTTTTAAAAAATTGCTCGAGTTTTTTATGTGAATTGTGGAACATTTTTCGGAACTGCTACATCTTTTCTAAAATTTTTTGAATATGTAAACTCTGAAATATTTAAAGATCTCCAAGATTTTCATTCTATAATTTAAGAAAAAATCGGAATAAGTTCAAGATATTTTTCAGAAAACTTTATAAATTTAAAATTTTAAAAATATTATGACATATAAAAATTCTTTCCACTGAGATTGCACTCAAAGAGATTGAGATTAAAAAATGCAATCTCAGTTCAAATTCACATAAAAAACTCGAGCAATTTTTTAAAATGTTATAAATTACCATTTTATTTCTGCATTTTGCTTCTAGAGAACGTTCAAGAAAAATATTCTCGTGATTACGTATGATATTATAACCTGATTTTAATATTTATATTAAAGAAAAACATACAGAAAAAAGAAGATATAATAAAAATAAAAAATGAAGTCAAAGTTATGATATAACTTACTTATTATATATTAGCCTAATTTATTAGACTAATTATAATTACATAATAATGATAAAAACTCATTTGTAGGTGTACCAGTACATTTTTATTCATGGAAAACTGCATATACTGAATGCAGAATGGAAGTTGGTTTGGAGAATAATTACTTTAATTTCACAAAACACAAGTAAATTATAGGTACATATATGTAGTTATCGCGTAGCAAGTGAGAAAGGCATGCTTTATTCCTACACGCATCGACACTAATTCTTCTCCGTACAGTACAATTTTACACTTCTAGACACTTATCTCTAATATTTTTATCTTCTCTACGAAACGTCAGACAGCATCTAAAGATTGTAAAAATGTAATCCACGTTAAAAAATAAAACTTGTATGTAAAGTAACGTCAAAATAGAACAACCCGATCGAGAATGCATGAGAATTGGATGTATGTATTTTTGTGCAGGTGTACAAGTACCATTATGCGGAATCGAAGAAATATGTATGATTTTTAGTCAATATACGTATTGCTATTACACGCTGTTACACGTCTCGTATTTTTACATATACATGCAATAATTATACTTGCATTACAACTTTTATATAACATCGATGACATCATTACTAATTTTATTTTTTTTTTAACGGCGGAATATCCCCTGGTAAAAAAAGTTGATAGAGAACGATTGAGAACAATAGGATTTCTATCAATTTGTATCATTTTTTATAAGTTTATATCATTTTCTATATCTTGTCGATCTCACGAGCATTACGATTGATCGAACATAAATCCTAAATCGTTTTATCGGATTCTATAAAATTTGTGTACGAGATTTCTATAAGATTTGATTCAAATTAGTAAATTCACGAATCACAGATTCTATATTTAAAATGATAGGATTTTTATATCGTTCTCTATCAACTTTTTTCGGATCGTGTTATAATTTAACATTGTGTGAATTTGGTCGATCATGAACTCTATCAGTTCCTAAATATTTTATTTTACTCATTTGAATTTTCAATTGTAATTGCCAATGCTTAAAAGAATTCTCAAAAAATTCGATTCCAATGAAAACTTGATCACTCTACTCGACCAAAATTTCCACAAAAATCTTAATTAATAAAGCATATTAAGGAGCATATTATATCGACGTTTAAAAATATTAATTTTTATACGTCATTGCATGCAAACAATATACGCTATATCAATAAAACCAAGAATTACATATAGCACATCAAATATAAACATTCGAAGACTTATTTGGATTTAGCAGCGTCATAAAAATATGATAAAACGTTACTTGCAAAAGCAATGGCCTTGGTGTAATCATTTGTCGCGTTAATGTAATTTATATAAAATCGAACATATTATCATTATGTATGTAAACTCTATAAGTAGTAATAGATTTTTTTGTAAAATTGGTGGTAACAATTATTGCTATAGTATAGAATCTATAAAAAATTATTATTATATGTATATAAAAAATAATATATAAAATATATCATATATCCGTGAGATAAAGCAAGTAGATCGATAAGTTAACATTAATTGTTTACAGACTAGACACTATGACGACCGCTCTGCAGAAAGTTAAAGTACTAGATTGATTGTATCATTAGTAGGTGCATGTTCTTTTTCTATTTTGATTTGTAAGATTAACGCTAAGAAAACGTTAGTCCGTATAAGACACGATAAGTGATATTTATCGTTCAATGTCTCGAGATTCCTATACTCAGATCGTTCTAAACTCTAGATTTCTAATTAAGATTAATAAAAAAATGGCTTTTAATCTGTTAACAATAAACTTAAAATAAAAAAAGATCAGCAACTTAATGCGAGATATTATAAACGCGCTTATTAAATAGCAGATGCAACACAAAATATACTTTTTATCATAGAAATAATATTTCTAATACTCATTATGCAATTTAAAATATAATAATTTTCACTTTATATCAACGCAATGCGTTAGTTTTGGTTTTCTACTTTGGCCCGAAGAAACCCTAGCTGCGTAGGTACTTTGTGAAAGATATTAAATGCTTATATACAAAAGTCTTTAAACTCGAAATATATATATATATTTATATAGAAGAGCATTTGGCAGTAATCAGAAAAATCGAGTGCCCGTATATAAATTCGCATCTAAATTCTTCTATACTTATAAAAAAAAAAATCAAGATTCTTTTCAGTATATCATCGTATAAGATATGCAGATATAAATATAGGCTGTGTTCCAAAATTGATCGCCAGTAATGAAAATCTATAGTAAACGTAACCTATAAATACGTAAACTATAAATTTTCAGTGCAGGAAATTTGGAACACAAAAATAGTCCAAGGTAATAGTTAAATTTAATAATCGCCAATGTAAAATACTATTAATAATAATAAAAATCAATAAAATTAAGAATCAGAGTGCATTAGAAATTATTTTTAGGAAGCATTTATCTAATCAGACTTCTTCCTACAGTCCTGCTGTCACTCTTAAATTTTCGAAGGCTTATATGTATATATACATAAATATATATGTATAATATGTATTTATAATTATACTTGTATTTATGATATACATTTATATATTTATTATATATATGTATATATTATATATATAAGTTATTTATATAAGTATATATATTTATATATGTATATAATATATACATATATGTATCTTATACAAGTTACACATATGTCTGCTCAAATTGATGCAAACAGTTATGAAACATCTGATTATTTTTTCGATTTAATAAATTTGTATAGAGATATAATTTTCTTTTGAAATTTATATATGCATGTCGATAAAAATTTCATACAATTATACATTTTAATTTAATACCTGTTATATCTTTGTACCTCTTTAAGACAGATCAATAAAAAAATTAAATATCACTCTTGCAAATATGAGTCATTTGTGTGCGTATGTAAATTGTAAAAATCAATTTTATAAAATACACAAACTCTCTATATGTTAAAAGAGATATACCAAGTTATTTACAAAATAGTAATAATAAAATATAATGATACTATTATGTGAGTCAGAGAGCTTGAATTGGTCCCAAAATAACGCATACCAATTTGTATAGAATAATAAAACACAGTATAAGAATTGGTTACTTATTAAATATACTATATAAAAATAAGATGAACATTTCGTTTGTTTTACATGGCCGAACATAAGATACAATTTACCAAGTATCCACTGGTGTTGGCACAAAAACAAAAGTTTGATTATTTTTGGTATTACGCTGTTATTGTGGGACACCCGGCAGAGGAAAGATTCTTACATGATACGCGCGATGAAATCAGTTTAAGCTTTGTATCTATCTGATGATCCGCCTTTATAACAGCAAATTAAAGCGAGTATTAGACTAACGATTTCTAGGGCTAAAACCAGTACCGCTGCACCCATAAAGTGATAAGTCTGCGTCTTCAGTGTAGTAACCAACTTTTCCATACATCCCTACAACCAATTTTTTTACTTATACACTACACTGTATATAATACAATAAACATAAATCTTGCTCTAAGATTAAATAGCAAATTAATTAATATAGCAATATAAAAACAAGCATTACCTCACTGTAGATCGCAGAGCTCACGACTCCGGCAACTTTCATCTGACGTCCTTGATTGCAGTCGGTGCTATCCGTATCTTTGCAGCAGGATTTTGGTATTCTGAATATGTTTTCGGCGTTTGAAACGCCAAAATTGAGGCGTAATTGAGAAGGATCTTGCTTTCCAAATTTACTGCCGGCCCAATCTTCAGGTCCATTGGCTCCGCAGCATTCAAGAGTAGATTGAATTGTATCCATGATTTGCGTGCGACATTGTATATCACCGTATTCATCCTATGAAAATAATTTAGGGCATTCTTTATTTTCATAACATACAGTTATTATATAATAACAACGTTCACTTCGTGGAATTGTTGAATTTAGCGTACAATAGACATTTTATAATTGAAAGGGAAATTACCTTAACAGTATTTATCACGGAAGATCGCACCAATTCGTCCAAACGATCTTTATGAGCGTAAAGCCATCCTGCGAATGCAATTTGCGCGACGACGATAACAAGCATGATGCTGATGAAAGTGGCCAGACAATATCGAAAAAGCTTCAAAGCACTACACCAGCCCAAAATGGAGACGATGAGCATAAGAATTCCGGTGAAGAGCAGAATGTATAAGCCTGCTTCATAGTTGTTTCCTTCCTCGGCGATCGATACTAAATACGTTCTGTCCGATAACATACATGCTACCATAGTAATCACTGTTACCGAGATAATCTGTAAAAGATATAAAGAAAGGATACGATTAGCGTTATTCTTTGTTATATATTTCTCGACGAAGGTTCACATTTGTTCATGTATGTTCAATTTAAACACAGCATCGATTACACTGTCCGACAAAACTTGACCTTTTTTTCCTGCAACGAGCAGGGCTAGTATTTCTTAATAAATTCAAAGTCGCCTGAATCCAAATCCGCCAGCGAAAGATCGTGTCAACAGATTTTTGAAATAAATTGAATAATATGAGCCAAAAACGTTTTTTGTCATATTTACCATTTTTTTTAGCCAAACAAAATTTTATTTTTCAATTTCATTAACGCCACTCTAAAGAGTTAATCTTTACCTTGACCTTTACTTTTAAAATTAAAAAACAAAATTTCGTTTGGCCACAAAAAATGGAGTTTTTGGCTCATATTACTTGATTTATCTCAAAAACCTGACATGGGCATTTTTCGCTGGCAGATTTCAATTCAGCGATCTTGAATTTATTAAGAAATACGGTTCTGCTCGCTGCAAATTTTCTTGTTGAACTGTGTTATAATTAGTAGATCGAGAAAAATTGTTGACCAATAAAATGCAATACATAATTAATACAATAATTTTTAGGCCGGTTCAAAATCGATTCTTATATTTAAGAGCGTCTTAAGTATATAGATATCATAAACCAATCACGAAGCTATTAACATCTTAAGATATTGAATAACGATTTTAATTGGAGTGTAAAAAACACTCCAAGTGATCGTTTATTTAAAAAGAAAATGAACTGGTGAATATTCCTTTAACTATTTTCCCTTCAGGAGATTACTTCTATTCATAATTTATGCTTGGAATTGTTCGAAATGACAAAGTTGCAAAATAACGAGTCGATCCACAAAGGGATTTTCAAGCATTCGAGCGAGTCTCTCGATGTTGCAGAATGAGAGAGATTAACGAGCCACTTTATGAACCGAACCTGGACGAAGGAGAAGTACGGGACATTTACAATGAAATTGTCTGTCCGCCAGATGTGGCAGCTTCCATTTAAGCTTGCGGATTATCGCGGGGTTTCCTGCCATGCGTCCCTTCCATCATTGGACACTAGACGTGGATTCATGGATTAAAGGGAAGATGGAAGAAGAAACATCCTTGGAGTTCCAAGTGCCAACGTTATTCTCGAGCGTTCTGCGAGTTAATTGATCAGTATAAATAATAGATACGGACAAAAATATATATAAGAAAACGTAAAAATTCTAACCGAAAAGAAAATGTCATAGCTTCTTTGAACACCACAAAACTTCTATTCGAGTATACAAGCATGGCTTTAAAATGGAAAAGGAGGAATTCCTCATATGCCTCCTGTTATTCATCGCGTGGCGAGAATAGAAGTTCTCTATAACGCGAGAGTTGATGTAAGAGCACGCGCAACAACTAAAAACGATTCGATGAATCAGAAACGGATTCCATCCCGCTAATATCAGAGTTAATACCAACTGCGACTATCCAGAGCGATCTTGATGATTTCTGACATTCTCTCCATTCTACCATGCGAATCTATACGCACCCCAGCATACAAAAGCCCTGAGGGCCACCACACATACTTTTCGTAATCGTAATGGGGATTCTACAATGAGTCGGAAGTCGATAATCAAAGTTTTAAACAGTCGAAAACTGATTCTACAATAAAATCGCAAACCATAAGCCGTAAGAAGTTAACCAATCATAGTCGATTATTTTTGTCATATTCAACTGTAATTGGCCAGTTTTTTACAGTTTACGATTTGCAATCCTATTGTAGAACAGGCTTTAGGGTAGAATCTTCGTACATACAAATTGGCTATTGGCCAACATCATCGATTAAGACTTAGGACCGCTTAGGACTTTCGACTATCGACTCAATAACTGCATTCAGCAGAACGTTTATTTTACAACTGTGAGAAGTTTTCTTCATGCTGTTTGAATTATTTTTGTAGATTTAGATGAATGATCCTATCTCTGCAGACAATCACAAAGCTCTGTTACAAAACTGTTGTGTTCTGAACGCAACCATTGTGGAACCTCGGTAAGACGTGCTGTACAAATTAGTCGAGAAAAACTGAAAATTCTTTATAATTTTTGACTGTGATTGGCTAATTCTTAGAGTATGTGTTACGATTATTGTTATGTAGAATGTGTGCGACAGCAAAACAAAGTTGACAAAGTTAACCCAAATAACGTTAAATATTCATAAAATGTTCGATTTATATTTCAAATGTTCTGGAACAGTAAAAGAATGTTCAAATGTTAATAAAACGTTCAGAATATTATGAACATTTCTTGTACGTCAATATCTATATACAATTGAAATCAATCATCCGCGAGTAATACGCATTTCCGTTGACAGATGGACATGGTAAAGTATTTCTCGTATAAAAACCATTTAGAATGGAATAAAAGGCACAGCATTTCATTCGTGAAGATTAATCCCAAAATTTGGCTCCAAAGTGAAAGTAAATAAACTGTTTATTGATAGTACAATTTCGTTTAGTTCTGTTTAAAAATTAATTTAAGGAGAACGTAGTATTCTTGAAAGAATTATAATTGTCAAAAATACATGTGTGTGATAATACCCTATGAAAACATATAACGGTATGAATGGAATATTTTCGATCATTTGAATATTGTTTCTACATTCTGTAAATATTTCGGAGTATACAAGAATATTCTTGAAATGTTACTTTAAGACTTTATGAATATTTTATAAATATTTCATGAACATTGAACGTTAGCTGTTGAGAAACAGCTTAAATCTGTTAAGAATAGATCTTACACAACGTCTGCCATCATAAATTTTGCCAGCAAAACACCGGCAGAAATGTAATAAAATCTATCAACAGAATAGCGAATGGACTTACAGTAACCAAGGGAAATCTATCTTTCATAATCGTTTAAATTATGATATATTGAACATTCTGTTTAAATATTTACAAAATAACAGATTTTAGTTGATTTTTTCCGGTAATAATCTGTTATTAGAATACATCTGCAAGTTCTGCCGAACAAAACTTAACGCGCAAATAAATGATATTGGATTTGTTACAATATCTGAATAAATATGCTACCATTTGTTGGCACATTATTGGCGAGCAGTTACTGGGATGTTAAATAGCAG